AGTTGTGTATGTGTTAACTAAAGTCTTTGAAAATGTAATAAGTTTTACGAAACGCGCTCAAGTGTCGCGTCAGACTAGAAATAAAAATGAATTTTGGTGAATTGATTTTTGAATTACCACCAACAGTGAAAAGAAATGTACGAAAGATTGAGAAAATTCGTGTTAGAATTATTAATCTTACCTTTTCGGTCATATTTATATATATATATATATATATATATATATATATATATATATATATATATATATATATATATATATATATATATATATATATATATATATATATATATATATATATATATATATATATATAGGCACGTCTTTCTATATACTATTATATAGATGCCGTGTGTTTTTATATATCTACAATGTACGTGCCACACCTGTGACAGGAAAATGCATGCTTTTTTGACAAAAAAAGCACAGTCTGTTGGACGTATGAGCAACACACGCTGTAATTTCCAAAAGTTCTTCACTGATCGCTTTGTAATTTTGACACAACATTCTATTCAAATATGGCGATATTTTATATATCTACTATATACATGCCACACCTGTGACAGGTAAAAAAATTTTTTTTTAAGCAGCGTTGTCTATTGAACGTAATAGCAACATATGTTATACTAAATATGTCAGGATTCCATTTCAATGTTTCCGATTGCATTGATAAATTGAATTTTCATAGATTTTGATTTATTTTCATTTTTATTTAATTATTTTGTATGACATTGCATAAGAATTTAGCTGAAATGTTTACAATACCGTTCATTTCGTAAGTATAAGTATTGATTCCAAATCTGTGACAAGTAAAAACATTTTTTTTTTTTAAGAAACAGCGCCATCTGTTGAACGTAAGAGCAGCACACATTATACTAAATATCTTACGATTTCATTTCAATGTTTCTGATTGCATTGAAATTGAATTTTCATAGATTTCGATTTACTTTAATTTTGATTTAATTATTTTCTGTGGCACTGCATTGGAATTGAGCTGTGTTGTTTACCATACCATTCATTTCGTGAGCACAATTATAGATGCCACACCTGTGACATGTAAAAACATTTTTTTTGTGAAACAGTGCTATCTGTTGCACGTAAGAGCAGCACACACTATACTAAATATGTTATGATTTCATTTCAATGTTTCCGGTTGCAATGAAAAATTTAGTTTTCATGGATTTCGATTTATTTTCATTTTGATTTAATTATTTTGTGTGACATTGTGTTGGAATTGAGCTGTGTTGTTTACCGTACTGTTCATTTCGTGAGAATAATTTATTTTTATATTTTTCATTATTTTCATTTTGTTTTTAACTGTTTTTCTTATATTTCAATGATGGGAATATCAGACCATTTGGGAATATATCGGACAATGGAGTGGGGAATGGTTGGGAGGACGAGGGGTAGGGAGTGGGGGATGAAAGGGAGGACTAGGGGACAGGGGAGGGGGTAATGGAGAGGATGATGAAAGGATGCGGGGAGTTTGGGATAATGGGGACAAGGGGACAGGGGAATGAAGAATGGTGGGGAGGACAAGAGGACATGGGAATGGGGGGATGGTGGGGAGGACGAGAGGACGAGGAAGAGGGGAATGGAAGGGAGGAGGAGGGGATGAAAGAATGAGAGACGGTGGGAACGACGAGGTGACGGTGGAGTGGGGAATTTTTAGGAGGATGAGAGGACAGTGGAATGGGGGATGGTGGGGAGGAAATGGAGACAGGAGAGTGAGGAATGGTTGGGAGGATGAGGGGACAGAGGAGGGGGGAATGGTGGGGAGGACTGGGATCCCAGATGCGGCTTAGTCGATTGCATCACGACATGGTTAAATTAATTACAACCGGGAGTGCTACTACCCTCACCTGGATCCTGCAGCCTCTCCAAGACACATTCCAGGGTTTTACACAACTCCCCCATGCACCCGGGCTACGTCAATAAGCTGTCCTACCTGTTGACGAAACCACACATTAGAAAGTGAAGGGACTACGACGTTACGGTCCATCCTGGACCATTCTCAAGTCGATTGTGTTCAGGACGGACTGAAACGTCGTCGTCCCTTCACTTTCTAGTGTGTGGTTAGGTCAACATTTTCAGCCACGTTATTGTGACTCCTCGCCTGCAGCTGTTCTACCTCTTCACCCTTACTTCAATATACACAGAGGGCTGGTAGCTGAGTAGACAGCACGCGGAACTCGTAATCCTATGGCTGGGGTTCGATTCCCGGCGCTGGCAGAGTTTCTTGCACCGTTATGCTCCTGTTACCTAGCAGTAAAAAGGTACCTGGGAGTTAGACAACTGCTACGGGCTGCTTCCTGGGTGGTGGGTGTGTGCGAAAACAAAAAATTTCTTAGTAATTAGTAACAGTTGATTGATTGACAGTTGAGAGGCGGGCCGAAGGAGCAGAGCTCAACCCTGGCAAGCACAATTAGGTGAATACACAGAAATCACAATAGCGTGATACATCAAATGAACAAATCCACAAGGGGACCTGATAGCTAAGTAGACAGCACTCTGAACTCGTAATCCTAGGATCCGGGTTCGATCCCCGGATCCTAGGATTGGTGATGGCAGAAACAAAATGGGCAGTTTCTTTTACCCTGATGCCCCTCTTACTGCTAGGTAACAGAGGTTATTCCTCTTGGGGGGAATTGTGTAAAACCCTGGTTTGTGTCTCGGAGAGGCTGCAGGATCCGTGTGAGGGCTGTAGCACTCCCGGTTGCCGTTCTTTTAACCATGTCTTGGCGCAATCGACTAAGGTGCATCTGGGATCATCTTGACATAGGTTCGAACCCTCATCAAGGATATTGTGGATTTGTTTATGAGTTTTCTATGTTGCTTCCTTGACAATTCAAATAATTTATCGGTTTGCCTAATCATTTTCATGTCTGGATCTCCATGTTTTAGGGTTGTAAATCACTGACACCGCCATTCTGACTTGTTCAACACTCCTGCGATGTAATTCTCATCTGTTTCATCGCTCCCAGCGACTCCCCTCACAGTTAACATGCTTCCATATCAGTGCCATTTCAACGCCTTCCTTGTTTTCATTTCTCTTTTACCTGAACTTTCTGGAAGTATATGTCATTTGTTATTATTGCAGTTAGCAATTATTATTGCAATTTAAATTTCCCCTATTCTGAGTTTTTGTGCCTTGATCATCGCTCCTTAGCTATTGCCATACAATTGTTTGATTCCTTTGTCCGGACTATTACTTGGTCTCATGGGAAACTTGTGGGCTCATTGAGTTAAGTATGTCATGAATGAGCTTCAAATGTTTAGATCATCACAGTGCTTTTACTTGAATTTATCAGACTGTCATTGACAGATTTAGATTGTCTGATTGCCATATCATATTTGGAGGCCTCGTTGCAGACAGGAAGCCGGCTACCTGTCAAAGGTTCCCCGTTTGTTCTTGAAGATTTTTTCTGTCTGATTTTAAAATTAAGTCTTGGCATTTAGGCCTTTTGTGGGTAGCCTGGTCTATGGTTGTCTGTCACACGTTGTGTTGTATTGTCAAAAGCTGTGTGCGTAATGTGTCGTATGTTGTGTATTATATCTATTCACACCTAAAAGTTCGTATGTGGAGTGAGGGGTACAACATGAAGCAAAATTTAACTTTATGAAATAATAAGGGTTTTAAGGAAGTTACTATTTCACTGGAATTATTAAAATGTGTTTGTTATTTGCATTCAAAAAACATTAAAGGATCTCTTGTACAAATTAAATGTCGCGATTGAATACAGACGACGGACATTAATTAACCTCCGAGCTGTTGCTGACCCAGAATCCTTCACCAATTTATATTCATATCAAGTGGTGATTTGTCTTTTGTAGATTTTTGTCTTTTTAAATGTAATACAACGCAAAACCTTCAGTTTTCTCAACATTATCTTCTCTAATATTTCATTTTAAAAGAGCTATTATATGAAATACATTAGTATTACGTGAGTTCTTAATCATGCTGGCGAAGCGTCGATGGGGTCTTCAACACTATATATATCCTCATACACTCGAATAATCAGGTAGTCTGGTATATCTGTCCTCTTATACTGAATTATTATAAAGTCTGGTATATTTGTCCTCTTATACTGGAATAATCAGGTAGTCTGGTATATATGTCCTCTTATACTGGAAATATCACGTAGTCTGGTATATATGTCCTCATACACTGGAATAATCAGGTAGTCTGGTATATCTGTCCTCTTATACTGAATTATTAGGAAGTCTGGTATATCTGTCCTCCTACACTAGAATTATCAGGTAATCTGATATCGGTTCTCTTTTATTGGAATTATCAAGTAATGTAGTATAGCTCTCCTCTTATATTGGAATTATCAGGTAATCTTGGTATATCTGTCCTCTTATACTGAAATTGTTAGGGACCCTGATATATCTGTCCCCTTATACTGGAATTATCAGGTAATCTTGAATCTGTTCCATCTTATATTGGAATTATCAGGTCGTCTTATATATTTCTCCTCTTATGCTGGAATTTTCAGGTAGTCTGGTATATATGTCATATTATACTGGAATAATCAGGTGGTCTGGTATATATATGTCCACTTATACTGGAATTATCAGGAGGACTTATATATCCGTTTACTTATACTGATATTATCAAGTAGTCTTGAATATCTGTCCACTTATACTGGAATTATCAGGTTGTCTGATTGTGGTAAATCCTGGATGATTGGGACTCATGGTTGTGTGGTAAGTCCTGAATGATTGGGACTCATGGTTGTGTGGTAAGTCCTGGATGATTGGGACTCATGGTTGTGTGGTAAGTCATGGATGATTAGGACTCATGGTTGTGTGGTAAGTCCTGGATGATTGGGACTCATAGATGTGTGGTAAGTCCTGGATGATTAGGACTCATGGTTGTGTGGTAAGTCCTGGATGATTGGGACTCATAGTTGTGTGGTAAGTGCAGGATAACAGGGACTCATGGTTGTGTGGTAAGTGCTGAATGAGAGGGACTCATGGTGGTGTTGTCTCTACAGGTCAGAGTCATGAGTGTGAGCGCCGGTGCCAACAAGGAGACCACCGCACCTGCATTTACAAGTTTAATGTGCAGGAATATCACACGCTGGGCCGCGCGTGCTTCCAGTGTCCCAGCGTAGTCTCCGACTGCACGCTCCAGGACTGCATAGCCGCTGACGGCGTGGCCAGGTCACTGCTGACTGTCAACCGACAGTTGCCAGGACCTGCCATACAGGTAAGTTGAAACTGATTGTCATAACCTTTCACCAGCACCGTTTATTTATTTCTATCAATCCACCAGCCCCACTTGCGTACCATAGCTTATACACTGACAGTCAACCCACCAGCCCCACATGCAGTACCATACCTTATATACTGATAGTCCATCCACCAGCCCCACTTGCGTACCATAGCTTATACACTGACAGTCTACCCACCAGTACTACCTGCAGTACCATAACTTATACACTGACAGTCAACCCACCAGCCCCACATGCAGTACCATACCTTATATACTGATAGTCCATCCACCAGCCCCACTTGCAGTACCAAAGCTTCTTCAGTAATAGTCTATCCACCAGCCCCACCTGCCGTACCATAGCGTCTCCTGACAGTCTTTCCACCAACCCCACCTATAGTAACATAGCCTCTTTTGTGACAGTCTATCCACCATCCCCACGTTCAGTACCATAGCGTCTACTAACAGTCTATCCACCAACCCCACATTCAATACCATAGTATCTTCAGTGACAGTCTATCCACCATCCCCACCTACAGTCCCATGGTTCCTTCAGTGACAAAGCTTAGTTAAAGTATTGATTGCAAATATTGACGACTACTCTGCCCTAGAAACGTAGTTTTACTGTAATTATTTATATGACCAATTGTTCAGGTATGTAAGGGAGACCGGGTGGTGGTGGACGTGTTCAACTGGCTGTTATCGGACACGGAGAGCATCCACTTTCACGGCCAGCACATGCGGGACTTCCAGTACTACGACGGCGTCCCCTTCATAACACAGTGCCCTATTCAGAAGACCTTCCGCTACGACTTCATAGCTGCCTCATCCGGCACTCACTGGTGGCACTCTCACGTCGGTAAGGAAAGTAAAAACAGAAACAAAGAAAAATTGAGAGTAAGATATATATATATATATATATATATATATATATATATATATATATATATATATATATATATATATATGTATATGTGTGTGTGTATATATCACGAAAATAAACAAGTGATTAAAAATGTGACATTGTCAGACCACGGAGGAAAATTGAAACAGGAATTTCCTTAAGTACTTTCGTATATTAATACATCTTCAGATAAAGTGATTTTACAGGTCGAGTATTGGACATAAATAGGCAGGAGAGAATGGTGGAGTAAAGTGAGGTACAATACGTGGACACTGCAGAGGGCCAATTGGCCCATCCGATGCAGCAACCACACACAGGCCCACACATGGATAATCATAGCATAAAATAGTAAATATTTACAATGAATTAGTGAGACAAATGTGTTCCAATGATCCTACTTAAATCGCCCTTTAATTGATCTATTAAAAATGGATCTAAGTTATATAAACCACTGCTAATGTTCAAATTACTTTCTTTTGTGATCTGTATCAAAGCAGATTCAATTATGTTTCTGTTATAGGTGCTTTTACAATTCGTTATTGAAGACGCCATCTCCCAATCAATTTGGTGAGCATCTTCTGACAGATGAACAAACAAAGCATTAGACAATTGGCCATGTCTTACAGAGTAATTATGTTGCGAAATTCTACATTTCAAATCTTTAGAAGTTTGCCCAACATAGAACTTATTACAGTCTTTACAAGGTATTTTATAAATGACACAATTATCACTACGAGGGCTGTTCCTAACTAATAGCTTACCAACAGTATTTTCGTAGCTAAACAATACATGTATATTAAAAAGTTTCAAGGCCTTGACAATATTCTCAAACCCAGAGAAATATGGTAAACATAACACATTCTTTGGGCGAATTCTTTCACTGCATATATTATTATAATATGTACGACGTGCTTTGCTACGGCAAACTTCCAAAAAACTCAGTGGGTAACAAAGGTTGAGACCGATAGAATAAAGAATTCTTAGACGAAGAGTTTGCATGGCATTTCACCTTTCTTTTTATGATGTCTTTAACAAAACCGTTAGAGAAGCCGTTGTTTACTAGGACATGCGTTACCCTACAGAGTTCTTCATCGACTTGCTTCCATCCTGAGCTGTGGCTGAGAGCACGGTCGACATAAGCGTTAACAACACTCCTCATGTACCTGTCTGGGCAATCACTATTGGCATTGAGGCACATTCCTGTTTGTTTCCTTAGTGTAAACTGCAGTATGGCAGCCTTCACTCCTTTCCATGATTGTTACATCAAGAAAGGGCAGCTTCCCATCATTCTCTATCTCGTAAGTGAAATTCAAGACAGAATTCTGCTCAAATGCTTCCTTCAGCTGCTGCAGACGTCTGGCATCAGGTACCTGGGTACAAATGTCGTCAACATACCTGCAGTATAAGGCGGGTTTCAGGTCCATGTCAACTAAGACCCTCTGCTCGATGGTACCCATGTAGAAGTTCGCAAACAGGACACCTAAGGGAGAACCCATGGCGACCCCATCTACTTGCTCATACATGTGCCCATCTGGGCTCAAGAAGGGTGCCTCTTTAGTGCAGGCTTGGAGTAGTTTCCTTAGAATGTTTTCTGGTATGTCAAAAGGAGAACAAGCCGGATCATGATACACTCTGTCCACCACCATCCAACCCGTTCTCGCACTTTCTTACAGTCAATATTGACTTAGTAAATAAGTGCATATGTGATATACTAATTTATTGTGAATATTTTAGTTTACCTTGAAAAGCTTCATAGAAAACACCGACCTTACCTAACCTTCTTAGTATGTTAAGATAAGCATCTTATTGCTTCGTAATTACAATTATTACTTAACCTATACCTATAATAGGTTAAGTAATAATTGTAATTACGAAGCAATAAGATGCTTATCTTAACATACTAAGAAGGTTAGGTAAGGTCAGTGTTTTCTATGAAGCTTTTCAAGGTAAACTAAAATATTCATAATAAATTAGTATGTCACATATGCATGTATTTAATAAGTCAATATTGATTATACGAAAGTGCGAGAACGGGTTGCATCATCCCAATTGTTTCATCCACAAGTATGTTGGTAAACAGTGATTCTACATCCAACGAAGCTCTTATTCCCATGGCCTGTGCTCCCCGCAGTAAGTCAACAAATTCCTTTGGAGACTTCAGGCTGAAAGCACAAGATACATAACGAGTCAGCAAGCCGTTGAGTCACTTAGCCAGTCTGTATGTGGGTGTGAGTATCTGGCTGATGATTGGCCGAAGTGGGTTTCCAGGCTTGTGTGTCTTGACATTTCCATACGCATACCCAGGTTTTTATTCCCCAATAACCTTTGACAAGTTGAGTCCGGATTTCTTGGCGTTCACAGTTTCGATCAATCTGTTTACCTTCGTTTTCCATTCGGCTGTAGTGTCGCAGAGGGAGGAAAGATTCGAGGTAACTACAGAAGCACCATACTGTCCTCCGAGCTCAAAGCAGCAGCTAAGAGCCTTCGCAAGAACAAGCAGACAGTTGTCAGGAGAGGTGACAAGTCGCCAATATACGTTATTATTAAAAAAGACAAATATCAGGTAAAAATGAATCTCATACTCTATGACCAAACTAAATTCCAAACGGTAACGAAGGATACTACAGCCGAATTGAAAATGAAGGTAAGCAAATTGATCGAAACTGTAAACGCTAAGAAATCTGGACTCCACCTGCCAAAAGTTATTGGGGAATACAAACCTGGGTATGCGTATGGAAATGTAAAGACCCACAAGCCTGGAAGCTCACTTTGGCCAATCATCAGCCAGATACTCACACCCACATACAGATTGGCTAAGCAACTCAACGGCTTGCTGACTCCTTATGTACCTTGTGCTTTCAGCCTGAAGTCTCCAAAGGAATTTGTTGACTTACAGCGGGGAGCACGGCCACAAGAATAAGAGCCTCATTGGGTGTAGAGTCATTGTTTGCCAACGTACCTGTGGATGAAACAATCGGGATAATAGCGGACAGAGTGTATCGTGATCCGGCTTGTACTCCTCTTGACATACCAGAAAACATACTAAGGAAACTACTCCAAGCCTGCACTAAAGAGGCACCCTTCTTGAGTCCAGATGGGCACATGTACAAGCAATCTTGAGGTTATTTTGAGATGATTTCGGGGCTTTAGTGTCCCTCTGGCCCGGTCCTTGACCAGAGCTCCACCCCCAGGAAGCAGCCCGTGACAGCTGACTAACACCCAGGTACCTATTTTACTGGTAGGTAACAGGGACATAGGGTGAAAGAAACTCTGCCCATTGTTTCTCGCCGGCGCCCAGGATCAAACCCGGTACCACAGGATCACAAGTGCAGCGTGCTGTCCGCTCGGCCGACCGGTCCGAATAAAATAGATCAGCAAGCTCATGTGGTCGAGACCCCAGTGGGTGACCCCACACACTGACCATGACTCTTCCTTAGTAGATTAGCAAGTAGATAGGGTCGCCATGGGTTCTCCCTACGTGTCCTATTTGCGAACTTCTACATGGGTACCATCGAGCAGAGGGTGTTAGTTGACTTGGACATGAAACCCGTTATATACTGCAGGTATGTTTATGACATTTTTACACAGGTACCTAATGCCAGACGTCTGCAGCAGCTGAAGGAGGGATTTGAGCGGAATTTTGTGTTGAGTTTCAC